AGCATCAGCTGTCTGCTCTGCCTATTTCCATCTTTGGCGGATTGCCCAGCTGCATCCTTCTCTTGATGTTGGAGTGCTCACTACTCTGGTGCATGCGCTTTTATTCTCGAGATTAGACTACTGTAATGCGCTCTACATGGGGCTACCTTTGGGACTGAGCGGAAGCTTCAAATGGTGCAGAATGCGGCGGCCAGACTTCTCACTGGGGTGAAAAAGCATCAGCATATCTCCCCCACTCTGGCTGTCCTACATTGGCTGCCCATTCGTTTCCGCATTGATTTCAAAGTGCTAATGATAACATATGAAGACCTAAACGGTTTAAGGCCTCAATATCTAGTGGAATGTCTCCTCCCACCTAGATCTACCCGAATCACTCATTCTAGCCAGGATGGGCAGTTGAGGGGCCTAACGCCAAGGGAGGCCCGGAGAGAAAGAACAAGAAACCGGGCCTTCTCGGCAGTGGCCCCTCCCCACTGGAACAGTCTACCCGCAGAAATCTGCCTAGCTCCCTCGCTGGATATTTTTAAGAGCAAACTTAAGACCTAGCTCTTTAGACAGGCCTTCCCTCCTGTCATCACCTACCGTTTTTTCCGTGTATAAGACACCCCCACTTTTCTAACCCAAAAGTAAGAAATCTAAGTGGGACTTAGATCCCTGCTTTCCCTTCCCCTTGTTTTTGTTCTCTCCTCAGCTTACTTCCGTGTATAAGATGACCGTCAATTTTTATTCTAAAGATTTTAGACAAAAGTATAGTCTTATACATGGAAAAATACGGTACTTTATTTGTTGCTGTCTTGAATTAATACTACTGTTTTATTTTAAATTGCTTTTACTTTCATATACTGTTATAGCCGCCCAGAGTAGACTTCGGTCTAGATGGACAGGGTATAAATTGAATGAATGAATGAATGAATGAATTCTGATGATAGACAGAAGAAAAAGCAAGAGTCACCCAAGAAGCACTAACGGCAATATAAAACTACGATCTAGAAAACCACATAAATAGTAGGCTTTGCACTTGTGAAGTGGAAGAGAAAACAATGCTTTTAAGCAAGAAAATACATGTCTTGATTTAACTGCAAACATAACTATGGCTGGAACAGCATGAATGACATGAAGATATCTGCCCAACAAGAAATTTGACAGAATTTGTAGTTTGTAGAACTCAGCTTTTCTTACACAGCACTTTGCCACTGAATGCAGTTGCATCTTCTGTTTCTAATATAAAGATCAGGGAGTCCTGAGCTTATCAACAGATACAGCTACACTGAGAGGACGGAAGGAACAAAATGGAAATATAAGTCAGAATAATTCCAAAAACATATTTTGTTTAGCAACTCTTTCTACAGACTACACATTTGTACCAGTGATGAAGGATCAAATGCAAAAACACTTACAGATCGAAGACAAGGTAGTGGAAACCTTCTTCTGAAATACTATCATGGAGCCGAACTAGAATAAAAATAAGGAGACAGAAGGAAGAAACTGAGAAATGGAGCAAGAAAGGCAACATTTAATTCCTTCAGAAACAGGCTGAACCCACTGGAAAATCTGAACCAAAAGGTTCTGAGGCTCCTCTGTCTAAACGCAGTGTCCCCCTCCTGAAACCATCATGTTTCATTTTTTTTACATTATCATCTTTTAAATGTGCACTACTGCCAAAAATATGTATCCAGTGATTAGTAATTATTAAATCACAAATATTTATATAGTGCTTTTGAGTACTCAAAAGCACTGAATGTACCACACAGCATGATGACATTAAGACAGCATGAAGACATTCATCACCATATTCCAAATGAGGAGAAATACAAAATAAGAGTTTATATTAAGGCCGTCATCTAGGGAGATTACAGATGGTAGACGATTTATATGAACCAGGATATCCCCAACTCAGCCTTAGGGTGCTAAGTGGTCATCAAACAGGAGACCCATAATCTCACAGGTTCCTTTTCCCCGGCTCCCTCCTTCCTGATTTGTAACCCATCCCAGCTCTCTCTCTCTCTCTGTGTTGAAAGGAGTCCTAGAAATGGGGAGTGAGTGGGTGGGTTTTAACAACTAGGCAAAGGTTGAATTGGCTAGAGAGCAAAGAGATTTGCATTTTCTTCCCCTGCACCATCTCTACAATTAAGTCACTATATCCAAAAGCAGCTATGACCCATGTAAATTTCCTCTCCTGAAGTAAACAAGAGAATTCATGGGCAATTCGCCTCACCAAAAATGTTAAAGGAAAAAAAGCTCTAAACTCCTTTTTGTGTGTATGTGTGCCCCATACCTGTGGTATTATCACTTAAAAAGAAAGAAACTCAGAAGACTCTGATTGCAGCTGTCCTCCCTTTTGTTGAGCTATATCCAAACCATAAACTTCCTAGTTTGTCTTATTCAAAGTCATTATTGTCTCAGTTTCTGCTGCTACTGTCTGCAATGTGGAACTAAAACTAGCCTCATATGCAGATGTGTTAGAAGCACTAAGAAGATGTGCAGTGCCAGTTGTCACAAAGCTAGTGAAGCAGCATTTGAGATGTCCCACTTCAGAACAATAGCAAGTCTCAATCTGTCTCTATACAAATACGTTCCCTGCACACAGACAGTAGCACAGGGAGAATGTTCACTAATGTTCTAGTCTGCACTGCGTGGGAATGTTTCTCAAGGGGGATGCTATTCAGACACATGACGTCCTCCCCTGTATACTGAAAATACACACTGACCATGGGCTTACCAGCTGAGTGAGCCCCAGGCTACTATATCACACTACATCAGCTGCTTGAGCACTACCATTTTTATAAACTCTTACACCTGGCTGCCAGGTAAGCAACCTTTGAGTGCTTGTTGTTTTCAATATACAGCAGGTTTTATATTTGTAGCCAAACTTTTCAAGGCACTCTCCATTAATACTCATGTCATGAGGGTAACCTTCCAAAATTGGATTGTGCAGTATCTATAACAGTCAGTGTCTACAGAGTGGCAAACAGAGTTTAGCAATTAAAAACAAATTTGCAGAGTGGGTGGGTGGGGGAAGGGTGAAAAGGTAAAGCATTTGCTGCCAAAAACCCAGCACAGAGCTGCAGCCCCTATATCAGTGATTCCCAATCTTGAGTCCCCCATATGTTCTTGGACTGTAACTCCCAGAAATCCTGGCCAGCACAGCTAGTGATGAAGACTTCTGGGAGTTTTAGTCCAAAAACATCCGGGGATCCAAGATTGGAAACCACTGCTCTGTATCAGTGCAAACTGAGACAGCAGCTCACATACCATAAAGAACAAAATCAACAAAGGAAGCCATGTCGTCATTACACAACACAAATGTAGAAGAATGTGATCTTTTTATTAGACCATTAATACAAGCCTTTATGGAATAAAAACTCCAGTTCTTCACCAGCAGTTTGTGAATAGTGCAAAACATTATAAACAGTGTTTGCCATGCGTAATAAAGGAACAGAAGCTCTTGAGAAGGATTTGAAGGGAGTACTGTAGAGGCAAAGCAGCTTCACTCATAAAACAAGCCATTTGTAAACTCAATAACAGACTATGGGAGTTGAAGTCCAACATTTCTGGAGAGGACTGGGCTGAGGAATACTGGCCTTGTCCAAGACTGCCAACCAGGCCTTGTCTGAAGTGACAATATGAGCTACAGTCGTGCCCCGCTGGACGATTACCCCGCTCTATGATGAATCCGCTTCACGTTGAAGTTTTTGCGAGTGCTTTTGCGATCGCTTCACGATGTTTAGATGGGGGTTTTTTGCTTAGCGATGATCAGTTCCCTGCCTCGGGAACCGAGTTTTCGCTTTACGACGATCAGCAAACAGCTGATCGTCAGGTTTCATAATGGCCACCGGCTGAAGAAAATGGCTCCCCGCTATGTTAAGGACGGATTCCTCGCATTACAGGCACCAAAAAATGGCCGCCGTATGGAGGATCTTCACTGGACGAGCAGGTATTCAGCCCACTGGAACACATTGAACAGTTTTCAATGCGTTTCAATGGGGTTTTTTATTTCGTTTGATGACGATTTCACTCTACAGCGATTTCGCTGGAACGAATTAACGTCGTCAAGCAAGGCACCATTGTAAAAGCAGCCAGCAGCAGCAAACTCCACATGCTGGATTTCCCAAAGACTACATGCAAAGCATTAAGCCAGGTGAATACAGGCACAGATGTGAAGGATGAGTGTTGCAGCACAGACAAATTTGAGACAAAGGACTAATGCAGCAGTCAGCAATTCTTCAAGTTTAAGAGGGAAGAAAAAGAAAAACTGAAATTGAAAAGAGCAAGGATTAGCAAATTTCTGCTGCTGTTGCAAGCCATGGATTTTTGATATTCTAAAACAAGGAAATATGAGGTATGCCAGGAATTCAAAAGGTCAAGATAGAGCCTGGCCTCTATATAGAAAAAAAATGAGACTAAAGCCAAGACCTCAACCAAAAGCACCATAAAAGAAAAACAAGAAGAACAGAATGGCACCCTTACAGCTTCACAAAGAGGAATGTTGAAGAACGTCATCTGTGACTTCTATAGCAGAAGAGCAAGTTAACTGAAGAGAAAACAAGCAACTGCTGTCTATGAAAATGCATTAATTTTAGTCAACAGGGTAGCATGTTGGGCTCCAACTCTTCCTACCTTAATATTGACATACTACAGTATGTCTAACCAAATGAAAAAAAATTAAAGTCAAACGAGTGCTGGGTGTTGAAGATGAAAAATGGCCAAGATTATAGCTTCCATTCTGAGCACCTCTTCACCCTTTAACAGCAAAAACTGGATAATGGCTGCATAAATTATAAATCAGAACAACCATTGCAAATCACAGCTCAGCCATAAATTATACGTGGCCTTAAGTAAGTCAATCTCTCAGAGTCAGACAGCCATCTTCAAATTAATGATAACATCATTGACCTGGGTTGTAATAAAGCTTGCCAGAAATGTATCTGAATGCGTCTACAGTGCTATGTAGACAGGTATTGTTTTTTTTTTTTCTTCTTCTTTGGCAGGCCAAAATAATGCTGCATAATCCTGAGTACATTTCAGTGTTTTGGGTTTACTGTAGGTTAAATTATTTCTCCTCTCTGTGGCCTTTACAGAGGACAGGCTTTTCTGCCCCGCATCCCTCCTTCCAGCAAAATAATTTTGGACTAATTACCCAAAAGACTATTTAGGACTTGAGAGCATCACTGGAAAAGCTGCTGCTAATGGACATTTACCCAAAATTAATCAACTTCCTGTTATTAGTTAACATGATGAGTGCCTGCTGCAACCACCAATTAACTTACTCTTGTTTTACAATACTTTTGTAACATTAAAAAGTTCAATCATATATTTTTTAAAAAAAATTAGCATTTTCAAATTGTAAAAATATGATAGTTAAAAAAATGGAATGATGGTATGGGTGACTTCTCACGTGCCTCTACCTTTTTCAACTTTATATTACTACAGCAATTTTTCAATCCTCTTCTGAAAATGTAATAGCCAGAAGTACTTACTGTTCCTATCAAGCAGGAAGCTCCATCCATCTATGCAGACAAGCATCATAAAATAAACTTGTTTCCTCCTCTTTCATAATTAAACAGTAACAATAATGGCATTTTAAAAACTATTTACAACCAGGACTGCAATTCAGAGTGAGCGCAGAGCAAGCATTCCTCTCAATGAATAACATCTTATTCCAGCTGCTTAAAGAACTGATTGAAGAGCTTCAAAAGGACCTCTCCAAAGTGAAGGGGAGTTGTAAGAACTGCCATGCTGTATAAATTAATGTAAAATATGCTGATTCACATATACACCGAGATCTGAATTGGCCATGGCTGTCCAGGAAAAAGATCTGGTAGCTACGGTTGACTACTCAATGAAAAACAACAGCTCAGAGTGCAGTAACTCAGAAAAAGGCATTGTAGGGATTACAGGTTTTATTATGAAAATAAAAAAGCCAATATCATAATGCTTTCATGGAGGCTATGATTCATTCACACTTGGGAGAACTGTGTACAGTTATTTTCATCCCATCTCAGAAAAAATATAATATCACAGGAAATGTTGTAGCAATAAGCAATCAAAATTATCAAAAGGTATGAGCACCTTTCCTGTGACAAAAAGCTAAATGTTGACCATGAGATAATTTGGCTTTAGCTTCTCACTGCACCTCTGCAAGATGATTACCGCCCTATTCATTTGTTATAGCCAGGAAGCAGGTAGATATGTTAACTATGGGGCAGACAGAAGCATACATAATAAATCCTGACCCCCAATGTCCCTTTCACCCAGATTTCAACCAGGATTCTTCTATTTCATTGTGCATGTCTGAGGAAGCACTTATAAATATGTTCAACAGAACACACTTGCAACACTTCTGTGATCAAGAACCCTGACTCCACAGACAGGTGCCCCAACCCACTGACACACAAATATTCATTCATTGGTTTTTGAGCTATAGTTTTGTATCTAAAATATGTTATACTTAA